GTTTACCTCACAGAAGAATGGCCTGTGGTGTTTTACTGCTTATTCAGCAAGGAATTGCCAGTCTGCTCATGACATAGAGAAGAGGTATTAAGAGAATGTGTTATAAATCCAGTGAGGAAATTACATCCTACATGATTTTCCACCATTACTACTTGTACTGAAAATTCTGAACAAGCTCAGAAGGCTCAGACGCAGCTGCCTTTCCTTCCAACATAACTTTCTTCTTACTATAGGTCAGATTAATACTTCAGAAGAATTTTTCCCTCCCACTCAGTCTTACTTTAGTTTTGTGGTTAAAGAAAAGAGAGAGGTAGGCCCTCTGAATCGAAGGGCGAAGGAAGAGTATTTTCATTTGTTCCACCAAACACTGTCCTACCTTATTTCCCATTAGTAATACTGGAAATTACCTAAATTATTTATTTTGGAGGTGATTTTTCTTCTTTATAGTTATCTGAAAGTTAGCCTCTCACATAAACATTTACATTCCTATTTACATGGGAAATGTTTTATTAATGAGAGAACCTGCTTCCAGTAGTTATTTTATAAATATCAAAGACACTTTCCTCTGTGAAAATTAGAAATATGAGGATACTTGTTGCTTACTCACACTATATTGGATAGAAATTTGTAGTTAATCTCTTCTGTATGTGAGGTCCTGGGATTGTAAATACGAAGTGAGAAGTCCCCAGAATGTACTTGGCTCTATCTGAAGGGTAAGAGCCTGACATATAAAACCCATTCAAATTGTGAATGTCCAGACTCTTTCTTCTTGTTTGGAAGTTTTAGCTTCAAAGGTTTCTTTCGTTGCTCAGTAAGTCATAGTTTTCCAAGGATTTTCTGTGTGCTCTAATTTAAAGAGAGCGCTTTAATTCTTGTGAGTTATTTTCTCTTCATCAGTGGGTTAACACTTGTTTCTTGCAGGTCTCCATTGCCATCTAGTGGCCATAGTTATTCAAAGGGCTTGGTTTAGAATAAGGCTGAAATGAAAAGGGATATGAAAAGTTTGGTTTGGTGTTTTTTTTTCTTGTGTTCTAACTGGTAACTTAAATACAGAAGAGTACATGAGGAAGAAAGGTAAATGTGTTATGTTTGCTTTGTGGTGTAATACCAACTTGGAATACAAGGGGTTTGGTTTCTTATTTGCAAAGCACTGCTCCATTAATGAAGTTTGATATTAATTTTTAGTCTGTGTATAATTACTGTATTGAAAATAGCTTATAGTTGTTGGGAAGAAAATTAGTGGGATACATCCATTAACACTGGAAGGATCTTGTATTGTCATTCAAGGTTGAATGACAGACGGTTGAATGACATTCAAAGAAGCTGACCAGGTACGTGATGTGCTTTTTCTGGCAATCTTGATTTTATTTCCAAAAGACCCACTCTTGAATAAAAGCGTCTGTTGCTTGAAGTTACTTCCCCAAACAAATTGCATTTTTTGACCTTGGAGTTAGTTCATAACCCCCAAGTGCTGTTCATAGACGACCACCGTGGTGTTCCCCCATCTGCGATGGCAGAGTAGGCCTCCGAACCAGTAGTTGGCCACAATCATTGCCCTTGTTTGACTCTTTACCAGTCTAATAAAAATGTCACTTTTTCTTATCTTGCTTCCTTCCCACCCACGTGTGTGTATATATATATATACACAACCATATGTGTGTATCTGTTTATTTTTAAATTATGATCACAATTTTCTACAGTAGAATTTTTCCTGGTGTAATGCTAAAGCTGTTATTTCTTGCTTTGTTTTGATTTTCCGTTTTCTTAAAACGTGCTGAAAGTTGCAGTAACCAGTAGATGAGCCTTAGAATAGATTTTTTAACAGTTACAGTATTTACGTCTAGATGTGGGATGATGTAGGGCATATGAATGAGATTGGTCATGTAGAAGGCAAATACACACCTTGTACTTTGAGTTTTATGATCTTGACCATTGATATTACACTGTCTCCCTCAAAAACATAAGTCCTCTTAAGATCATTTTTCCATGATGGTAAAGAAGCATTTGAGGGAAATCAGGTCAGGTCATCTGTGCTATTTGAAATAAATGCAGTTGAAAAGAAAGGAATGCATTCCTGGTTTTGAGATCAGTAGGATTTAATTGGTGTATAACAGAAACTCAGCCTTCTTAAATATACCCCTGCTACATCATTCAGCATCATAGAATCATAGAATGGTTTGGGTTGGAAGGGACCTTAAAGATCATCTAGTTCCAACTCCCCTGCCATGGGCAGGGACACCTTGCACTAGACCAGGTTGCTCAAAGCCTCATCCAGCCTGGCCTTGAACACTTCCAGGGATGGGGCATCCACAGCTTCTCTGGGCAACCTGTTCCAGTGCCTCACCACCCTCTCTGTGAAGAATTTCTTCCTGATATCTAATCTAAACCTCCCTGTTTTCAATTTGTACCCATTACCCCTTGTCCTGTTACTACAGGCCCTTGTAAAAAGTCCTCTCCCAGCACCCTTGTAGCCCCTTCAGATACTGGAAAGCTGCAATGAGGTTTCCTTGGAGCCTTCTCTTCTCCAGGCTGAACAAGCCCAGTTCTCGCAGCCTTTCGTCATAGGAGAGGTGCTCCAGCCCTCTGAGCATCTTCGTGGCCCTCCTCTGGACTCGCTCCAAGTGGTCAATATCCTTCTGATATTGAGGGCTCCACACCTGGACGCAGCACTCCAGGTGGGGTCTCACCAGCATCTTTGTGAAGAATGCTGGAACAGAGGTCAGGTAGAAGGAGATTAGAAGCGAAAAGCATAATAGCAAGCAAAAAAAGGATACGCAGTGTGTGCTGTTTGATAACATTTATTACTGCCTGCTCTTTCTATTCATGGTGATTTTTAAATTTCAGAACTTCTGTTCTTACAGTAGAAAGTTACAATAACCCCTTGTGTCAGATAACTATAAATTTCAGCTCTATGATTTATGGCTGGCTTGTGGAAGTATTCTCTTATGCTGCTACTGCAAAAGTATTAAATTTTATTTTTGAGGTATTTTATTGTGTCGTTTCTCAAGTTGACAGTTCCATCAGGAAACATTGCCTTTGCAAATTGGCAAGTTTCTACCTGTTGCCTTGGTTCTCTGTGTTCTGCATTTTCAACTGAGAGAAAAAATATTCGAGAGCCTTCATATGACCCATAATTATACCAGAAAATAAAATAAAGGTAGTTAAAACTGATGCAATAAACACATAAAAAAATGTTAGTTGTTAAACTTTTAATAGTTTTCTTTTCCAGGTGGCTTTTTGTTAATTGATAATTCCATATTAACCGAAATTTCTCTGCTTCAGAACAGTGTGAAGGCAATAAAAAGACCAAGTAATTATGATAAGTCATTGCTGAAATTGATTATCACAATGGAAGAAATAAAACATTTGTTTCTGTTTGTTCAGAATTACTAAGTTTAAAGAGGAATCTGTAGCAGCAGTTTCACAAGTTTATTTAGTGGGCTTCTCATACATGCATATCTTTGGATGTTACGTAGCAAGCTACTTTGAACAAATTGTCTTTTGTAGGCAGTCTGTTTTCAAGCCAGAGCATTATACTTTTGAAAGATATTGATAGATATTGAAGCTGTGTGCATATTGGTATATCACTGGGTTTGTGTTTTAAAAAGAGTGAAATTAAGTGAAAAATTTCCCCTGTGGATTTATTGGCAAGATAGAAAGTTTGGGGTGTTTTGGGTTTGGTTTGGGGTTTGGTTGGTTTTTTTTTGCCTGCAGGGGTGTAATTTTTGCCATCATAACCACTGGCACATTTTGAATTGCAGTAGAACTTCAAATTTGGTTTTTGGCTTCTCTGACAAAGAATATACATTAGTTGTGTGCATTAACTGAAATGATTACAAATATTTGCAGTTATTTATATGAATTCTTAATATTTACATTTTATTATGTGATTATTAACTCAGGACTTTGGTTTAATCTATTAAGAATTCTGTTCCTTAGAAAAGCATTTTGTATCTTAAACGAAGGTAATTTTGCTGAACAGTTAAGATAAAGTGTATTAGACTTGATTTTCATACTAAAGCTAACTTCTAATAATGGTTATATGATGTTTAATAGAAATACTCTATTAATTCAGCTGTCCCAAACCAAATTAAAGAAACCCATCTGCCTACCTACCTGTGTAAGGGTAGGAGTTGTCTTTGGATTTCAGGAGTGCGAGTTAAGCACTACTCTCCAATTTGAAATGGCTGGAAAAGTTTTAATTATTCTATTTATCCTCTTCCTCCATGCCTCTTTAGCTACCTCACAACTGGATGTAGTCATTCTGCATTTTTAAACTTTGACCTTAACTAAACGATGGTAAAAACACTGCAGCTGTTGGCTGAACTAAAACCAAAAGTGATTAGCATGTGCATTTTAACAATTTGCAGAAACTTCAAGACATTGTGTTTTAATGCTGTGTTTAATTTTAAACATGTAAGTAGCATGTAGATTGATTTCAGTCGGTGCTGCTGAAAACTAGATCATATATTGTGCAGTTACTGATGAAGATGTGAAATCATCTGTTCCCTTTAAAAATGAGAGATTTATGCTTGGATGGAGTAGACTCCCTTCTTTGCTAGTGATGAAGCACTAGATGTTTGGGAGTTGAAGTCAGCAGCCGTCCGTTAAACTAGTTTGTGGAACTGTTCTGTGTGTATTAATTGCTCCATCCTGTTAAGCACCTGCAGAAAGCAGAACACTGTCATCACTTTCAAGGCCTTTTTACTTTAAGAATCTGTTCTTCATGAGGATAGAAAGCGTTTTTGTTTTATAGAGTTGCAGACTGTCACCTGTCATTGATCTGGAAAGAGACTCTGCATCTAACGTTGATTTTCCTTGCGTTTTCTCCTTTTTGATTTGCATTTTAGAAAACCTTCAAGGCAAATCAAGGGTGTGCGTGTATAAACTGGAATGCAAAGCGTGAATGGGCTGAGGAAGCTTTGGGTGCACAACAAGTTCTGTCTCAGGAGTTTTCTTGAAAGCTCTGTGTGATCTCATAATGCATTTTTCATTTTCAGGTTCTTTTGTCCTCCTCCATGTGTGTATCTTATGGGCAGTGGATGGAAGAAAAAAAAAGAGCAAATGGAATGGGATGGTTGCACTGAACAAGAGTCACAACCTTGCGCTTTCATTGGAATAGGAAACAGTGACCAAGAAATGCAGCAGCTGAACTTGGAAGGAAAGGTAGAAGAATTGTAATAAACCACTGATTACTGCAGAGGATAGTAAAGCTACATGGTGCCTATTTCAAGGAGTACTGTTGCTTATTTTTGATAACTTTTTTTTACACTGTAGCATAGATTACATAACTGGTTTAAAAAAATCCCTCACAAATATGTAGGACAATTGAATAGGTGGATTTGGTTCATGGGATCATAGCAGGGTGCTGACCTTTCATTTGTAGGTTGTTGATACAGGGTCAGTAAACTGTTAGGTTATTTGCTAGGCATCAGTGGTTAACTGAAGTAAGGGTTCTCACCCAAACTCCCTGTTTCTCTCCCTGGCTTGCATGAGTGGATAATCTCATCAAGGAAGTATCTGAAGAACATCCGCTGCTAGAAGCAGTCTTTAAGTCCCTTTTGCATAAAAATACAATTAAAATAGCATCTTACTAAATTTAGTAGATTATTTTTTTTATAGTGATACAAATTGCTACAAGGTTTTTTGTCGTGACTTAAACAGTTGGAATGGAACTGGCAGCACGCAAGTGCTCATTTTAGCTGGTTGTTTTATTAAGCAGTATTTTAGAGCTACTAGTATTTCCAACACAGTCCACTTAGAAATGCTTCATATGTTGCTGAACAGGAAAAGAATAATAAGAGCTCTTTTTGAGATGTTTTGCGATTTAAGCTGTTGTCAGCTAGTGTAAACACTTAGCCAAAATAACTTTCCAGTGTTTCAAAACCCAGTCATCTTCCATCTTTTCAAGAAAAGTTTGGCTCAACACGTTTTCTGCACAGGCAGTCTCTTGTGCATGCCCAGCGTACTGCCTGTATAGCTTCACTCAAATGTGGTTTTTAGCAGTGCTAAATGGCTTTGGCACAGCTATAGTCTTTAATCATCCGTTTTCCAATCCTGGTAAGGGTCTTAAGAGAGATGCTAAAGAACTGAAGTTAGGTGCTAAATTTTACAACACTAAACAGTAATCATAAAAGATATCCAGATAGAACAGATGGAAAAATCAGTTTCCTATCTGTTTTAGAAACTACTGCATCAGTTTTTCTATTTTATTAGTAATTAAATATATGTAGTTTCTTGCATTGGGTTGACTTAAAAGGAGAAACAACAGTATGTTTTCACCTACAGAATTATTGCACTGCCAAAACGTTATACATATCAGACTCAGACAAGAGAAAGCACTTCATGTTATCAGTAAAAATGTTCTACGGCAATAGTGACGACATCGGCGTGTTCCTCAGTAAGCGGATCAAAGTCATCTCCAAACCTTCTAAAAAGAAACAATCACTGAAAAATGCAGACTGTAAGTATTTCACAGTTCTTTATGTAGCAATTAATTTTGCCTCCTACCAATTTTTTCTTATGTATTCTGAGGTCTGGTTACAAAGTAAATACAATTGAATTTTCTGATTCTGTTTTTTAATGTACTGTGCACATCAGTGTATTTTAAAGTATTCCAGTATAGATAGGTTACACTGTTGAGTTTTATGCAGTCACAGTTATTTAGTAAATATAAAAGGACCACCAAAAAACTTTAGTGAGGTGTTAATCCTTGTAGACAAATGCATAAAGAATGTTCTACCTCAGCTTTCTAAGCTGTTGGATCTCTTAAGCTGCCACGATGTGGTGCTTAGGATGTTTTGATCAGTGTCAGACATAACTTTCACATTGTGATAAATGAGTAGCATCATGTTATCCAAAATGTGCCTTGTCACATCACAGCCACCTTCTTACTGTCTCATGTCATTTCCATGTTGATTTTATTTTTAATAGTTTTTGCATGGTTCCTTTTAAGTAATTGGTTAAGAAATCTGTATGGTGATATTTCACCCAGATTTATTTGCTTATCGTGTTTTTCAACTAAAGATATCTCTGGTGCTAATATATAATCGGGAGCATTTTTGCTTTTCCTCCGAAGTTTTTGCTTGCATACCACTGGAGCACCTCAAGAGATACCCTTTTTTTTTTGTTTGTTTTTTCTCTCTCTCTTCACTAGTGCTTTAAAAGGCTCTTCCATCTGTGTTGGGCTGGAACCCATTCACCTATGGAATGTGGATCTCGGGGCCGCTAGCTTGCCACATGACTAAAGGCAGTCTGTTGCTGTGCAGTTCACCCCCGTGGGCTCAGAGTATGCACTGTTGACTTTGTATTCAGACAGATAGTTTTGATGAACAATGAATAAGAACCAAGTAGAAGAAACATGCCCATTTTGATTGCAAAATGCTAGTTGCTGATATTTTTAATTTTTTTTTTTAGGGGAGCAGACTTAGTATTTCTCTCTTGATAAATAAATTCATAACTGAGGGAATTTCAAGTTGCATGATTACAGTTTTACATAGTTATGTCTGTGTCTTGTTCAATTGATTGTGATTTGTAAGAATGATTTTTCTTTATACTTTAAATATACTTCAAGTGATCGCTGAAAGCTGTCTAAGTACTTCACAAGGGCAAGCTAAATAAAGCTTCTGCCCAATTAATCAGTTGTTGGAGAGCTATGAACAGAAGGAGTTTTCAGCTGGCAAGCACTGGCCCATTCGGCTAAGTGGTAAAATTCTGTGAACTAGCATGCCACTATGTATGTTAGCCCGCTTGTCATTTTGTGATTATTTTTGGTCTGTCACAAATATAAATATTTTCTAAATTAACCAATAATTGAGAATTATGTCTTGATCTCCAGTATTCATCAGTTTAATTTATTGCATTTGTGGCTTCTTGTTACTTTTCTATGTAATGATGAAGTAATTTTATAATCTCAAGTCTGTATGTGTTCCTTGCAGTATGTATTGCGTCAGGGACAAAAGTGGCACTATTTAATAGACTTCGATCCCAAACAGTTAGCACCAGATATTTGCACGTAGAAGGTGGTAATTTCCATGCCAGTTCACAACAGTGGGGAGCATTTTACATTCACCTCTGTAAGTAAAAATGAAGCATGTATTTTTTCATCTCCCTCCCTCCATCCCCACAAAAAAGAAGTCCTGTGTTTTTTTCCTCCATATTAATTTCCCCTATGCAGATTTGTTTTACTACTGAGTATATACTTGATGTAATAGTGTGATGGTAAATGTTTCTCTTATCAAGGAGAACAGTGATTAAAACAATGTGGAAATTCCTTTTTCATGCAGTGGACGATGATGAATCGGAAGGAGAAGAATTCACCGTGCGAGACGGCTACATTCATTATGGGCAGACTGTCAAACTTGTATGCTCAGTTACTGGCATGGCACTCCCAAGACTGGTACAGTTGAATTTCTCCAATGCTGTAATTAACTGTAGATGGCTGCTTAGTGTAATCGCATAGTTAGGCTTGCATTATTTACAAATATTTGTAAATGCTTTGTATTTTTCCTTTTGGTAATACATGTTTTAAATGAACAATTGCACTCATTTTAAGAAAAGTATATTTTAATATCTACCAATTAATTCTGTAAGCAAAGAACAACTTTTAAAATAAGCATAGGGAGTTTTTTTCAGAATTCAAGCTCGCCAAAGTTGGTTAATCTGCAAGCTTTTTTTAAGAAAATGTCTATTTCAAAAACTGTATTGTAGGTCCCAGTGTAGCAAAATACTTTACTCATCCATTCAATATCAATATTTAAAGTCCTTGCAGCCAGTAGGACTATCCCGTTGTTTGAGTTCAGCTCAGCTTTCAACAATGCTCTACTGATTTGAATCTAAAAGCACATCTATGTACTTCTAATGGTACATAGTTAAACCAGTATCCCCTTGCCAGAAGCATTTTGGACATATATTAATTCTGTATGGTTTAAGTATGGAAATGCCTTTGGAATCACTTCTTTTAGAGACATTTTCAGCCCTTGTCTTTCTCACAGATAGAAAATTAATTATAACCAGTTAAAGTTTACAAACAAAAAAAATTATTTTATTACTGGATACACAGTAATGGTTTTTATAAATAAATTTAATTACAGGGTTTTTTTCTCCTGTTTTATACACTTAATGCCAGCCTAAGTGGAATTTTATGTGACTGATAATAAACAATGCTTCATATGAGAACTGTGAAATTGTGGTTTGTCAGCCCATTATGAATTTCATACAAGGCTTTACTAATTCCCCTTTTAACTGGAAACAATGTAAAACCAGCTTTCCCTGCAGGTGCATTTTTGTTCCCCTCTCAGACTTATTTTACTAGGAATGTAATGAGAAATTCTCTCCCAATATCAAAATTAGCTAAAAATGAAGGTAACCTGCTCGGAGTAAATGGTATAAAATAATAATTCAAATAGATTCCCCCCCCATCATACTTGACAAAGATCCCGATCTGCTTCCTATGATCCTGTTCAGTCCACAGGAAATTCTGCAAGAGGATCTCACTTTACTTGTGGGCTTCATGTTACTATTTTCTTATTGCTGAAAGGAGATGCTGTCATTTATGATTCCAGAAATCGTTTTTGTAGTTAGAAATAGGTTAAAATAAATTGGGCTAAAGGTTCCTGGTTTGTTTGCTGTTGGGAACATTTGTCATGTTGCATTACAAGATTGGTTGAAGGTGATGCGATTAAAAGGTAACTTGCAGACATTTTATAGGTTAATGCAAGGAACTTTGAAGAAGCAAGTTAACATTGAAACTTATATTGCCCATAATGCCATTTATTATCGTTAGAAATCCCAGAGGATATGGTTCACTTTCTGATTGTCGTCTTAAAAATCTTCAAGCACTTTGGCTGCTGCTTCTGCTGGTGTTGCATAAAATTAAGTAGTAAACATTTTTCTAGAAGCTGATTTAACTTTCCAAGCTACAGATTTCTGCTGTCTGTAAGGGAGTAACTTTTTTTAATTTTAAAAAATAAATTATTATAAAAGCTCAATTAAGTCAGCAGATATTTTTTCACTGTATTGCCAAATGGTTCTTTGCAGTTGTCTTTCATATGTAATGATCAACTATTTCTAAGACACACTATGATTGTTGTACTGGCAAAACCGTACCTAAGGACATCTCAATACCTTTAAAGTAAACCCTTATTTTCAACTGTTCTCCTTCAGCAACTAGTCTGCCACAGAAGTCTACTAATACTTGACACACTGCTCTTTTATACCAGGATATGGAACAAAAGTAGATTTTGCTGAAGCTTCATGTTTTTTCCCCAACTCTTAGAGTAAGAAAGATAAAATATATATGCATGCAGCACACCAAAGCTGTAATGATGAGTGTCGCTTCAATGTTGTGTTCTTGTTACGAAAGTATTGAAAATTATCAATTGAGTGTTGGTATTAAACTAGGAGGCATGGAAATTATAAAAAAAAAATAAATGGCCTTTCACTTCCTTTACTGACAGCACATATGTAATCTCCACTGTAATGAAGTACAGAAATTGTCCTAAATATATATATGTACAATTTTCATTCACAGATAATTCGAAAAGTAGATAAACAAACAGCATTATTGGATGCAGATGATCCAGTATCGCAGCTCCATAAATGTGCGTTTTACCTTAAAGACACTGAAAGAATGTATTTGTGCCTTTCCCAGGAGAGAATAATCCAATTTCAAGTGAGTTGTTTACAACTGTTTCAATAGATGAGAAGGATGGTTGTGAAGTTTTCCTAAATATTCCCAAAATATGTATGAATGCCAGTTTTGCAGTTGGTTTTGAATGCAGTCTGATGTCTTGTTTTGGTTTGGTTTTTTAAAAAAAAAAAAAAAAGGATGGAAAGCAATGAACTCTTTGTCCCTTTTCAAATGTGTTTTCTTCCCTCATAACCTTCTGCCTGTCTACCTAGGCAGTGAATTCTATTTTCTCCAATGGAAACACACTGGGATCTTGTGCATGCAGTCATGATCGTGTTGCTTAACATGTTGACATATGCCAAAGGAGTTGGACCATTTACTTGTGTGTCCATTTCTAGATTACAGCAAATGGGAAACAATACAGTTCATGATAGTCTCATTTTACGGTGAATTTAGGCTTGCGCTGCCTTGCTCTTGGCTAAGAGCGAAGACAGCTGAGGCAGTTGACCACAGTAATTTGTAGAGCCCCAGATATTTGATCTGTCTGTAAAGAAAGTAGCTGTTTCAGTCTTCAAGTGTTTGTTCTTCAGCAGGTAGAGAAGAATATCCCTAGGAAGTTACTGTAACAGGAATGAAACCCTAGGGAGAGCTGGGAGGAAGAAAAAAAACCCAAACCCAGAGTGTAGAATTGTTCTGGTGGCTTATAAAGCACGCTAACAAATTGGGGGGTTTAGTCTCATGTGCATGTTAGCGTGCTTTTAGCAGACTTTCAGCATGGTAGTTCCCATCAGAGTAACAAGGCTGTGACCAAGTTCAGGCCTTCCCAAGTACTGCAATTTTCCTTAAACATCCAGGGCAGCTCAAATAGTGAAGGGTGCTGAGGGGTAATGCTGTGCTCCAGGAAGATAGCCACGTTGGGAAAGACTTGTGACTTAGAACACCTGTGGCTTCTTGGGTAAGAGAGTAGAGGTAAGAAGGGGGGAAGCTAACATTTCCCTTAATTTAAATGAAAGGACAAGGATTGTTAAAGGCTCCATTGACTTCTGTCATCAATTGGGACAATGGAAAGAGAATATGACAAGCTTTGTTCGTATTTCAGGAAACATATTCATGGCTTGTGGCTCAGAAGGGACCAGATCTATTAGTTCTACCCACAGCACATAGCAGACATACCTATCTATGTACTTTCTTGTAGAGGATAATGGACCTTTGTCAAAGAGAAAGCAGTGAAACGGGGATTGCAAGAACTTAGGATCAGCTTTGCTTTGCGATCTTACTCAAAGTACTTAATGGGAGGGGCTGAATGAAGAAGCAACCCCTTCTGCTCTGACAGCTGTCTTAGTTCAACATCCTGGACTTGCCTGTGGGACTATTAGGACGTCCTGCCGCTCTTCAGTTTCTGCAGCGCATGTGGAGCCCAATCTGATAAGAGCTCTGAACTTTCTACATGGGTAGATCTTAAACAAAAGGACAACCCACTATTCTGAAATCTTTTGGTAGAGTAGGTACCTGCTGCTTCTACTTGTTGAATAAAATCTGTTGACTTGGACATCACGCTGTTACCACTCTCTGGTAGGTGAAAGCACTATGGAAGATGAACTCTACCAGTGGCAGGAGAGAAATCACATTTTATCTGTTTCTTCCTTTGGATGAGAAAACTAAGACCAGAGAAAGAGGCATGTGTAGCGTCTTTCACTTGCCCGTTCTGAAGCATTTACTGTTGCATACAGTTCCTGCCGGATTCCTAGTAGGAATCTAGATAGACTGTGGTCACTGTAAAAACAGGGGGGAGAACAAACCAAAACAAACAACCCCAAACTTTACTTCAGGGTGACAAGTCTCACTTGTATGAATGGAAATAGCCCAGTACAGAGACCTTAGAGGCATAAAGCAGAGAGGCTGTAATAACTCAGCAGGTCAGCATGATCCTACAAACCCCTTGAAATTCAGTTACTGAAGTACCAGCCAGATGTCTTTAAAGATGTCTGTGTATTCTGGAGAATACAGAAAAATATAAATAATGCCTTACTGCATCAGAGCGTAGTCGGTATCTGTGTCGAACAGCAGCGAGAGGAGATGGTGCTTACAGGAAGCAGCACACCTGGTTGCTCTCTGCAGTCCAGTACAGTTGTACTCTACCAGCACACGCTTCTTGTATTATTAAGGGCTGTTTCCTTGACTGTCTTCTAGTATCATTTTGTAGCTGCGTAGTCCATCGGTCTGATTCCTCTCTTTTTCTACAGTATTCTGTGGTTCAAGAGGTTTCCTGTCCTCTGTGCAGTAAACTTTTGCTGTGTTTGTTCTGAATGATCTAATAGTTTCTGTGGGTGATTCCTAGTTCCAGTTTTGCAGGATTTAGTAAGCAACAGTTCCGCGTTCGCCTTACCCATCATCATCTTAATTTCTTCTCTCCAAATCTGAGTTAGTCTTTCCAGTTGCTTCTCAGGAGGTCAGCAGCTCCATGCTGATTGTAGTTGCCCCTGCTGTACCTTCTTTTTTTTTTTTAACCATGGCTTTCTTAGAGAGACCAGAACTGCACACAGTATTCCAGAACTGGGTGAACAAAGGATTTACACTGGCAAACTAATACCCAATACCTTGTTCTCAGTGTGTTTTTTCTGATGGTGTCCAACACTGTCTTGTGACTTGCAGCTGCCACTGCACATTCAACTAGTGATTTCAGAAAACTGTCAGTGGTGACTCCAGGATCCTGAGTTCTAGCTACCAGTTCCAAGTTCAGTATTTCATGGGCGTCATTTACAGATTTTTTTTTCTTTAGAAACTCCACTTGTATCTAAATTGAAGCTCTTTACTACTTTTTTTTTTCCTCCATGTTCATTTCAGTGTCCTTCTGAACATAAAACCCTTGTAATTGTAACAGCATCTAACTACCTGAAAAACTTGGGCTCATGCAGAAGTTTGAAGATTTGACTGTTGAGGACATTGAATTGGACTGATCAATCACAACACCAGTCTTGGGGGAGGGATTGCACTGTTGGCTTTTGTTCATTTTGAAAGGAGAATGACTGTGAAGTTCTTCCTTTTGCTTTTTGCTTTCCTTTAATTAGCTTCTTATAAAAAAAAAAACCACAAAACCAACACAAACCACACAAAACCAAAAAACCCCCAACACAACATTTTCTAATCCATTATAATTTCATTTCTTTAATATCCTTTGATACAAAGCTTTCTTGAGGGTGGGGGGTCGTTAGTGGTGTTTGCTTGTTTGTGGTTTTTATTTTTAAATCTAAATTTATTTTATTCCTTGGATTCTATCTGTCTCTCTCCTTGTTGTGTTTACCAGTTCTTGGGAATCCTGTCCTTTATCCATTAATGTTACACAATTGTTTGTTTCCCATCTTCTCTCCATGTGAAGCCAGTCAGTACACCAGGTAATAAGCATGGTGTAATGAGGAGAAGTGCCTGGAGATAAACTGCTGTATTTGAAAGTGACAAAAAGGGATGCTAGAAAAGGAATAATAATGGTTCAGGGATTTGTGTGACAGGAGGAGTAACATGTGCCTGAAATTATTCTTGACATAGCAGGACTTTCAGAACAAAATCTGTGGCATTTGCCTTCAATTTTGTGGCAGGAATTTAGCCAGTCAAAGACTTTGTACAGGGTCATTTTTGATACCCGTGGCTTTATTTGTCGTGAGTTGAAGTACATCAGACCACGCCAACAGGAATTGTAGTCAGCCTGTAGAAAAAATGTCATGCATCAAAATAGTACACAGCAGTTCCTCTTTTGAAGTTGGGCTAGTGATTTTAGAGGCTCCAAATGATTCTAATAAAAGTATCAGTTGGGTCTGGGGCTTGGAAAGAACTGCAGTTAGTATTCCTGTTGCACACTTCCCTTGAAAGCTGTTTTCAGTGGGGTTTTTTTACATGATCATATCAGAAGGAAGAGTCCACATGAGAATGCAGCTTAGATCTTAACTTCCTTTCATCTGAGCCGGTAAATTCGTGCTAACTGAAGTTTATCTCACAGTTTTGAAGAGCGAAGGTTATGGCTACATACCTAGATATCCTTAAAGCTTAATGGAATAAAAGAGAATTTAGTTATTCAAATTAGAATTTTTGAGTCCCATTTTTTTCTGTGCTTGTGTTTAACTTATACGCAGTTTTCTTACTGGTTGCTAGATGATGGATTTGCTCAGAGAAGGTTTTGCCATAAAATAGTTGTCTGCTTTTTTTATATGTATGTATACTAATTTAGTAAAACTTAGTAATATTTACAAGGAGACAGTAAAAGTTGCTGGTTTATTTGCAAGGATGTCATTGGCTTTGCACAACACTGAAATACCATTTTGTGGATGGTGAAGAACTCTCTAAAAAGAAAAAAGTAGGTCTTGGCCAGATGTAAATCATGACTAATGAGAAGTATTCCGCTTCAGTCTGTAGCTGTTTTAGTCACTTCCCCTTAATAAAACATCTGTTTTAAAGTAGCTACTTCTAGTTGCTATTGAGCAAATTATTGGTTAATGGCTATTGAGTAACACTAAAACTTTGAAAGCTGAACTAAAACAAAACTCGGTATAAACAGAAGATGCGAGAGGTGACAGTGTCATAGGTGAGAATTACATTTTTCTCAGAAGTTTTAGTTTTCTACTAGTTTGGCTGAAATGTATGTGACTGTTTCTCTGGGTCATTTTGTTAGAGGAGAAACATAAGGAAATACGTTTTTGAAATAATGGACATTACTGGCTGAAATGGTTTTGAACTCTGTGATGTGGCAAATGAGTCTCCAGGTCAGATTTAAAACTTTTCTTTCTTTCTAAGGCCACTCCATGCCCAAAAGAACCAAATAAAGAAATGATTAATGATGGAGCTTCTTGGACAATCATTAGCACAGATAAAGCAGAATACACATTTTATGAGGGGATGGGACCGGTCCATGCTCCAGTGACACCTGTGCCTGTTGTAGAAAGTCTTCAAGTAAGTTTGGGGTTTTTTTTAATAAGCTCTTTTATGTGAGATTGTTTTTGTCATACTGATTTAACCTTCATGGTACCTTTGGAATGCTGCAGGAAACATTCTTACTAGCTTTATAAGTAGGAAAATTGGTGTGTGTTGCAGTAATTTTTCTTACCTACATTTCAGAATACTGGGGCTTGTTCATTACAGAAATAATATTGTTTTGTACATTAAGAATTTTATTTCTTAAAAGGCTATGGTAATGATATCCTTAGGATTTCTGCTTCTGTTGGATTATTTAGAAACGTATTTTGGCTCTTCAAACAGCCAATTATGGATCAAAGAGGGACAGACTGAAACCTTATTAAGAAAATCGGCTTTCTGCTGTGGAAAAAGCTGAAGCTCCCCTAACACTTTCTCTGAAAGATACTTTGTTCTTTGTTTTTCAAAGCCTTGTTGACTTCTGTTCTAAGTGGCCACTATCAGAACTTGGAAGTTCCTTCAGGATATCAAATTAATTGGCAATATCTTTTAGATGTGTTACTTCTTTACAGCTCAGTTGTGTAGGTGAAGAAATTGTTTTCTGGGTTTGTTTGGTTTCTTTGTGTGGTGGTTTTTTGTTTGTCCCATGTCCCCCCACCCCACTGAGAGAAGTGTGTGGTTTTTTTAATATTTTTTTGTGCATTTTCTTCTTTTTTCTATTCACTCCCTTTCCAGTTGAATGGCGGCGGCGATGTAGCAATGTTGGAACTTACAGGACAGAACTTCACTCCAAATTTACGTGTCTGGTTTGGGGATGTGGAAGCTGAAACCATGTACAGGTGCAGTATTTCCTGCTGGTTTTATGGTGATTACATTTTACTGGATGCTTTGAAGAGTGTGTACTCTTGTGTACCCTCAGTTGCATACTTTCTGCCCTGCACAAAGGGGTCTGGTTGACAGCAGGCTTAGTATGAGTCAGCAGTGTGCCCTGGCAGCCAAGAGGGCAAACTGTATCCAGCAGGTCAAGAGGTGATTATCCGGCTGTATTTAGTGTTGGTGTAGCCTCACCTGGAGTATGCATGCAGCTCTGGGTCCTACAGCATAACAAGGATGTTCAGGTACTTAAATGTGTCTACAGGAGGGCAACTAAGCCGGCTGGGGGCTGAATGTCATGTCCTTTGAAGACTCTGGGTTTGTGTGGTTTGGAGAAAAGGCAGCTGAGGGGTGGCCCGATGTCTCTTTACAGCTTCCCGAGGAGAAGTGGAGAGGGAGGTGCTGAGCTCTTCTCCCTGGTATGGTGTGCCAGGACACGTGGGAATGGCTCAAAGCTGCACCAGGGGTGGTTTAGACTGGACAACAGGAAGAATTT